CTCCTTCATTGCTCCGGACGTCAACCTCTGCGTGACAACCCAGCCAAGAACAAGTGACGCGACTTGCGCACCAAGACCAACTTCGCCCCTAAGACCTCTTTAGCCACGCTATTTTCAAAACGTATCTCTACCTACCTACCTACCTTAATGTCCACATTGGGATGCCAGCACTGAGCTAAACAACAAATTTCTCACAATCGATCTCAACTTCCTTTCCATAACCGCAACTCCCCTCCTCCCCCTTCCGCACCACCGTCAGAGACGAAACTCAATTCAAGAGCAGACCTGACACCACCACACGCCAACCCGACGCCATCATGGCGCATCCAACCGCCGCGGCACAACTGGCCTTGGGCACCGCGACCGAGTCCGAGGCGACAGCGACCCCTCCTCCCGAGCAGCTTCACATTGACGAAATTGATCGCGATGGAAGACACATTGGTGTTGTGCGAGACGAGAACAGGAACATTGTCTACCCGTCCTTTGTACCACCCGAGGTCGACTCGCCGAACGCTCGATCACCGCAATCCACGACCGCGCCTACAGTTCCCGAAATACCACCAAAGGATGAAAGGGCCACAAAGACCGAGTCGGCCCCAAACGGCCCTGACCACCTCGAGGTTCCCGGAACGTCGAACACCCAAGAACGCCCTCCCATAGACAAGAAGTGGAGGACCGAGGCGCCTGCACGAAAAGCTGGCCAGAGCAGCGCGACACGGCGGAACGTCCCCAAGCGATCCGGAACATCGTACCTCGATAGGGCACTCTGGGAGGCCGACAGGGGAGATTCGAGCTCGAGTTCGAGCTCCAGCGACTCCTCCGATGACGAGAACGCCCAAGACAGCAAAACCCCGGCCGAACGAAAAAAGGCACAAGATAAAGCCAATGCGAGGCGGCAAAAGGAGATTGCCGAGCGCTACCGCCGCTTCCACGTTGGCAATGACAATTACAACACCAAGGGCAAGGTGAAGAAGGACGGTCGTCTGCGCATCTCGGTCAAGGAGACGGCCAATACCGGCTACTTGGCCAAGGCGTTAGGACACGCCGTCAAGAAGGTGGTGCCGGTGCCCGAAGGTGAGGAGCAGGGCGAGGATGCGCAGCGTCCGTCCGTGTCACGTCTCTCCTCCGCTACCACGGCCACGGCCGACCGCGAGCCGAAGCCGCGCTTGAATATTGTCATCATGGTCATTGGCTCCCGCGGTGACGCGCAGCCTTTCCTCAAGATTGGCAAGATACTCAAAGAGGACTATGGACATCGCGTTCGTATTGCGACGCACCCCGCCTTCCGCGAGTTCGTCGAAAACGACTCCGGTCTGGAGTTCTTCTCGGTCGGCGGCGATCCCTCCGAGCTGATGGCCTTCATGGTCAAGAACCCGGGCATGATTCCGACTCTGGATGCTGTCAAGGCTGGAGACATTGGACGTCGACGTTCAGCCATGGCGGAGATGTTTGACGGTTTCTGGAGAGCTTGCATCAACGCCACCGACGACGAGAAGGATGTCCACAACCTCAAGATGATGGGTGAAAAGGACCCCTTCATCGCTGACGCAATTATTGCCAACCCCCCGAGCTTTGCCCACATTCACTGCGCAGAGGCCCTCGGCATCCCCTTGCATCTCATGTTCACATTCCCCTACACTCCGACACAGGCCTTTCCTCACCCACTGGCCAGCATCAAGAAATCCAACGTGGACCCTGGGTACACCAACTTCATCTCATACCCCCTGGTCGAGATGATGGTTTGGCAGGGTTTGGGCGACTTGGTCAATGACTTCCGCGTCAAGACCCTTGGCTTGGACGCCGTGTCGACTCTCTGGGCTCCTGGCGCGACCTACCGTTTGCACGTGCCCTTTACCTACCTTTGGAGTCCTGGTCTCGTCCCTAAGCCGCAAGATTGGGGTGAAGAAATTGACGTTTCTGGATTTGTCTTCCTCGACTTGGCTTCGACATTTGATCCACCCAGCGAACTGGGGAAGTTTTTGGATGCTGGGGAACCGCCTATCTACATTGGTTTCGGCTCGATTGTCGTCGATGATGCGGACCGTTTCACCCAAATGATCTTCGAGGCTGTTGAACTTGCCGGGGTTCGCGCGCTCGTGTCAAAGGGCTGGGGCGGCTTGGGAGGTGACGAGATGGACGTCCCCGATAACATTTTCATGCTGGAGAACACGCCTCACGACTGGCTTTTCCCCCGAGTTAAAGCTTGCGTCATCCACGGCGGAGCTGGAACCACCGCAATCGCTCTCAAGTGTGGTCTGCCTACCATGATTGTGCCTTTCTTCGGCGACCAGCATTTCTGGGGAAGCATCCTCGCAACAAGCAAAGCCGGACCCGAGGCTGTACCCTACAAGCAATTGGACGCCGAGAAGCTCGCCGAGGGCATCAAGTACTGCCTTACGGACGAGGCGAAAGAAGCGGCGGCCAAGGTCGCCAAAGACATTGAGTTGGAAGGCGACGGCGCCAAGAATGCTGTGCGGTCGTTCCACCACCACCTGACTCTGGGAGGCATGAACTCGATGCGCTGCTCCATTCTGCGTGACCGACCGGCAGTCTGGACGCTGAAGAACACCAATGTCAAGCTTAGTGCCCTCGCCGCCGACATCATTGTCGAGGAAGGACAACTTTCGTGGAAGAGGCTAAGACTGCTGCGGCACACGGAATGGAACGACTTCGAGGGCCCTGGAGAACCGGTGACCGGTATCGCGGGCTCTCTCGCCGGCACGATGGGCAACGTTTTTGGTGGCATCGGCAGTGTTCCCTACAGGATTGCCAAGACGTCACATAAGCGCAAAGAGAAGAAGGATAAGAAGAAGAAGTTGAGGGCCCTCCGAGATAAGCGCACGAGTGCCAAGGAACGGAAGGCCGCGACTAACAGCAATGGCGCGCTGCAACCGCAGGAGGGTGACGAGGACAATTCCAAGAAGGAGGGCGACAAGGCGAAAGCAAAGGGCGGGGACGACAGCAAAGCGCAGAAGAAAGATGAAGGAAAAGCCGAGGACAACAAAGTAGATAAGGAAGACGGCAAGAACAAGAGCCAGGGAGAGCAGTCCCAAGCCAACGGAAACGCTTCTTCTGCTAGACCGGGTGCGCAAGAACGTCGCGATACCATGTCATCGATCGATACTGGAACTACCGTCGACGACGCCGTCGGAGACTACGCCAATGAGGTCGGCGAGGGCGTGGGAAAATCGGCACAGGCCCTGGCGAGGGCACCGGTAGACCTATCCATGGCTATTGCCCAGGGATTCCACAACGCTCCTCGGCTGTATGGTGACGATACCGTTCGACGCCCGCCACGTGTTACCGGCATCAGCTCTGGATTGAAGGCGGCCGGCAAGGAATTCGCTTACGGCATCTACGACGGCACGACCGGCCTCGTTCGCCTACCCGTCCGGGGTGCCAAGAAGGAGGGCGTCAAGGGATTCGTCAAGGGAACAGGCATGGGTCTCACGGGATTCGTACTCAAGGATCTCAGCGCCATCATTAGTCCCGTTGGCTACACTCTGAAGGGCATTGCCAAGCAAGTCGAACGGAAGAAACAGCCGGATCGAGTCGTCCGTCGGGCCCGTCTTGTCCAGGGCCAACGCGAAAGACGGAACCTCCCAGGCGATTCAAAGAAGCAAACCGACAAGGACGTAGTCACTGGTTGGTATACTATTCGCGAACTCCTGGAGACCCTCGAGGCCGAGAAGAAGCAAGGCATCAAGGGAGTCTTCTCGCACAAGAAGCAACGAGTCAATCACGCAGCCTTTGAGAGCGTCGACATTGCCGACCGCACCCTACAGGCGATCAAAAAGGGTGAGGATATAAGCACTGTCGTCGGCACGGAAAAGGAGCTTCGCAAGGCGGATGAGAAGTTGAAGAGTCCTGCGACTAGACATAGTGTTGATACGAGGCGGTCGACCGAAACCGCGCGGGCGCGCAAGTCTGCTGAGGATCAGGAGAACTCGGAGGGCTCGGACAAGAACTCGTCCAAGAGGAGAAATGATATCGCGGAGAACGAGGAAGGGGAAGCACGAGCCGAGGCGGCAGACCGCGCGGATGCCAAAGACAAGGCTGCCGCGGAAGACGCACAAGACAGAGCGAAGGCTTCTGAGACCAAGTCTAAGGACGGAGCCCAGGTTAATGGCACGGCCGGAGTAGAGCATAAGACGCAGTCAGAGGAGGACGGGCATCGCCGGCCCAGCGTTGATCGCGCGAGGTCGGCTCAGGTTTAGGAGTTTGGGAGGCTATCGTCCGTACGGCGTTTCTTTTGTTTTCCGAGTGGTTGAGAAGAGAGATTTCCAAATCAGACAGACAGACTAACCCCCAGCGCCCAGGCATGTTCGGCACATGCGTTGTTTGGCTTTGGGACTCCTTTTTAGATACTTTTTCTGACTTATACCCCCACCCCCTTTTTTCTTGTTATTCCTGTGTAGGAGTAGCGAGTAGTTTTCTAATCAAAGTTAATATCCAAGGGAATATTCCGATGCTTTTGTGAGAATGGCTGATGGCTTGGGGGCCTGTCAGGCGGTGAGAGAGATGTAGGTGAGTGCCCGTCACGGATGGACGAAGGTTTGTTGTTTTGGTTGGACGAGGAATATCGAATGTCTTCCGTAAACATGGTCCCAGAGGATGATAGACAAATGGCAAATAGACACGATGTCGAACCGCGCCATGTTCAACATATCTCGGTTTCTATCTGGTGCCCCGTTTTCTCCGTATTACCGGATCCTGCTGTCTGCCATTTGCTCGATACATACCTGCCTTAGGATGAGGTACTTTCCTTGCACGATGGACCTGGAAGGCAGGTACGAATAATCATTTTCCCACGGCACCCTCATCGAATATGACCCAAGTCTGCTTGCGCACTTTTGTGCCTCAAAATATTTTTCCCTTCCTCCCGACTTTGTCCTAATTACATCCCCCACATCTTGATTTTACACACGATTGTGTATGATCAGCCTTGCTCACCATGGCTTCTGCTGACGAGTACAGTTTGACGGATAAACCCGACTACGATGGCGACTACTCCCCCTCAAGGTCTCGAAGAGGCCGGCGCCATGCACTTCGATGGCGATGAGGAGGGCAACCTTGAGATCGACGGCATCGTGCAAGGCACAAGAAGACGACGATATGCACGATCCCAGGCACCGACTGAGCCCGAAGAGCCCCGATCGACGAGACCGGCAAGACGCAAAGCACCCAAGCGAGGAAGGAGTCCGTCGGTAGAAGTCGTCTTGCCAGACAGCACCAAGAGGAAGAAGACGAGCTATCTGACGCCAAAGAGTGGCGGAGTCGCGGAGCGGTCTCGAGAAGAGGACAGTCCCCATTCATCCTCGCCCGAGCCTACCGAGGGTCACGTTCTATGGGGCCTTGTGCGAGAGAATTTGTCAAAGAAGATGTCTACGGCCCGAGTTCGAGAGTATATGGATGAGACGCTTCCTATCCTGACGAAACGTCAGCTCGATCGCTTGTTCCCAAAGAAGTTGCCCAAGTCGAAATACGACGAAGACTGGACCAGGAAAGATGAGAAGAAGCTGCAAAGGGAGTGGAAGAAGAACGCTGAGCGGGAATTGCTCGTGACCTTCAAGTATACCACAGCTGAGCTCATTGGGCTTTGGAAGGTCTGGCTGCGCGTCTGGCGCTGCTCGCCACAGCTGTTCATCTCCAAGTACAACAACATGGAGTTCGACACCAGCGTTGTCGATGAGGTCGAAATCGAAAAGAATGGTCAAGTCTACAAGAGACGACCCGCCATATGGTCGGTAGCATTCTGTCGGAACCTTCACCACCTGTCTCTCCATCCCGTCTGGATGGGGAGCCTCGACTTGCTTGCAATCGCTCTGCAGTACGCCTCCATCTTACGCACGAGGAACTACCAGGACTGGCCGCTGGATAATCCGACGGACGACAACTTCCTCGCCACCTTTATCAATGTGATTGAGAAGTACAAGGGCAAGGCAAGCCGCTGCCCGAGCTACACAAGAAGACAAGATCGCGAATGACCCACAAAGCCCTGAATGCATCACCTCTGTCAACCTTGATGCTGGATCTTGAGGGGAGCATTGTCACCGACGCCGAGCCTCGCACGAATGGCAGGAAGCTCCGAACATACAAGATTAGCATTCACGAGATCAACAACATCATCAGGGCCTTGGCCAACTCTACATACATGGGCATGCCACAATGGGGAGGCTTCACGCCCAAGGAATATGCCAAGCTCGCCGTCTACGGCCGAAGGCCATCGAGTGAGTTATCAAAACAAGAGCAACATTGCTGACGTTTACGAGCGAGCCATTCTTGTGCGTTTGCGATGGGAAGCAAAGAACAAGAAACGCCGAGCCCGACTCAACGTGCCAAAGACTGAGCCTTTCAGAGTCCCAAGTCGCCACAGGGCAGCACGTGAAAATGAAACGACGGGGGACGCTCAACTGAGAGCGGATCTTGACGACGCAATACGCCAGAAAGAAGCCTTAGAGGCTGAATTACGAGCACGACCACAAATCGAGAAGCGTAGGAGACGTACCGCTGACGAGAACGCGCACCTGAAGGAACTCCAGGCCGAAAACAAAGAGTTGAGGGAGAGATTGGAACGTGAAGCTAGCGAACATGCACAGATGGAGGAAATCTAGAAGACAGATCTTGAAGAAGCAGGACGCCAGATCGAAGCGTGGAAGGCAAGAGTACGAGCGCCATCACCAAGGTGAAACCGGAACAGGCGTAACGCTGAGGAGGATACGCACCTGGAGGAACTTCAGGTTGAAAAAGAAGGACTGAGAGACAAAGTACAAGCCCACGCAGCCGCGCGCACAGTTGGAGACTGGCACCTCAGCGATTATGAGACGTGGCCAAAGGCTGCATAGAACAGTAGTGAGAGAGGGAAGGGGGGTGGGAAATTGACAAGTTTTGCTGAAACAATTTGAATATGAGTAACGATTGACCTGAGCAAGTGATTGCCATTTCCATCCGTAAACACTACGTCTATGAATCTCTTGACCGAGCTTTGTTCAGGTCAACATAAGTGTGCTCACATTAGATCACAGTCGTTCCAGGATAGTGGCCAGCGCATTCATCTCCTTCCAAATCTCATGCATTCTCAGCTTTTCACTCAGCGTCTGCCCCCATTCCTTGCTGGCCTTTTCCAACAGCGCGTCGCCCTCCTCGCACGCCTGGGCGCCCCTGTTGCGTTTTGGTCAATCCTCGTTGCGTCGGACTCGACTTCTTGTTTAATTGATTGGCACTCTTCGAGGCCTCGGATAAGGGACGATCTTCCTTCAATATCCTCTCGCGACTTCTCCATGTTGTCTCTCATGCGGGAGAATCGAACCATAATATTCACTTTGGGGGTATCTGCAACACCACCCGTCTTGCCAGTCCTTAACTTCTTCTTCTTGTTCATGTCGTCAGTGATTGCACCTCCTTCGGCAATGTTGAAGCCGTCCTGCCACGCGTAGGAGCAAGAAAGGGCAATGACCAGCGTCTCAGCGACGGGCAACTGCCCTGGGAGCCATGTGTTGTGCACCACCCTCCGCGTAAGAACGGGGTCAAGGCCGTGGTGGCGCGCAGTACGGACGAGAAAAGACCCAGGGACTTGGTGATGTTCTTGAAGCTAGCCGCCAGGCTGTATTGAATCGGCCATACCGTGAGCTGGAACGAGTCATCCAACATAGAGCGGGCTCTGTTGTTGGTGTATCTCTGCGCCTGCCAGTCCTGGATATGACCCCTGCGTCTGAACGAGGCGGTCGATGAAGTCCCGTACCCTATCTGTCTGTGCCTAGCACTCAACGAACCGAGGCTGATAGTACTCTTTGAAGTCTATGCTGATGGAATGGCCATCAAATATACTACCTGCTGCGCGGGCGAATGTGAGATCTGCTTATGACTGACTGTCATCAAGCCCAAAGCCCTCAAAGGCTCTCAGCTTGTGTCTTGAGAGAAGCGATTACCTGCTTGGATTCCATTCAAATTCGGGAAGTTCTCCGCCTCAATCTTTGATGCTAAAGACAATCATATAGACTCCGGGGCCTATCGCTTTTGTCATAGCCTTACATGGAAGCGCGAACATCAAGAAGGGTGGTCCGACACCGGTTCGGGAAGATAGTGACTAAAGGCTGGCGCTTTCTTTCTCTGTTCCCGGCGTCAAAGGATCTTACGTTATCGGCGTCGCTATCTAGGTAGTATTCAAGGGGAATAGTAGCAGGAAGGTCGAGTACAATGCCAACGACGAGGACGAAGACGGGATTGAAGACGAGGACGAAGTTGACGCCGAGAGAAAAGACGCGGAGGGAAGAGATAGGGACAAGGTGAAAAATCTCCGTAGTGATCTTGATTATAATATTTATCTTACTGCACTTACTTAAGGATCATGAGGACTGTGAGGAGCCTACAGCCTAGCCTCTCTACTCGTAACCTTCCTACTTACATACCTCTTCCTATACGGTTTGTTGCTTCCACCATCGTTTTCCAACCAGTTGCTATAGGTGCCACCAATGGGCCGCATTCAGGGCTCTTGCTGGGAGGCATTAGTCTGCATCTAGGCTCATGGTGATAAGTGAGAAAGATTCATCTGGAAAACACTGCGTTCCTGAGAGGTTCTTTATCGCTCTGGAATATTTACATCGTGGGTCGGGGGCGGCGTGTCCATGTTGGGCTTTGGGCAAGGTTGGGAGGTGGACCAAAGAGATGTTGAGAAGGATAAGCCATGATACAACTATTGCCATGTCAGAGTACTGCCGTGATGGCATCAGCCGTTGATACCTAAATCGAGCCAGTCGCTATGAGCGTCACCGTTGATTTTGAGCCATTGAACTCGTCGTTGCAATAAACCTCCTTGGGAATATTGAATTTGTGTGACTCTCAAGACGTTGTAGAAGCGTTAGGCGAGTCGCAACATTAACGAGATGCTCGGCCAAGCCTGCGAGACTATGAGCCGCTGATTGATGCGTATTTATCATTACCGAGTCGAAGATTCGACAGGTGTCAGTATTGCTTCGGAAGCCGGACCCATGCTTCGGACTAAGTGTGTTGTTAGACTATGGTAGTCATGTCTGTTGCGCACTTTGACGGACATAACCCGTCCCGTAGGGATTTCGAAAGCGTCGCAGTCCCTTTTCTCGGAGGCTAGAGTCGAACTTTCGTCGACCTTTTCGTTGGTTCTCTTGTTGTGAAGGAATTCCGCAATGCGTAAGTCGTCGTCTTCGTATTCGTAGTCGACTTCTACGCTTTGCTTATAGTCAAGTGAAACTTTGAGCAAATTTCCTTTTCTCAGGAATCTAAAGCCTGGCTAGATACTATCCAAGTTGTATGGCAGGTCCTTGTGCTCAGCTTATATCTATTTGGCGAATGCTACGAAAATCCAAGCATGGATGGTTACGTCGGTCGAAGTTCGTGAGTTGAGAGTTTTCGTAAGTAGAGCGGCCTGTAAGTCGAAGGCTACATGTGAGCATGAGTAGTCAAGTCAGACGGCGTTGGGGGGTACTGGGTTTTTGGAACGAAAGCTGCTGGGCAGTCAACATATGGATTTTGATGGATATAGGTTCATGGAAATTGGGGTTTGGTGAATGAAGACACTAGCTCGCGTATTGCGGATTCAGGAAAGTGTCATGAAACCAGATGCTGATTGAATCTGTCTGTCTCATCCAGTCTTTGTTCGTGCTTGGGATGGCGAGATACCTAGCCACTCTACTCGGGATGATATGGAAGGGCGAAATCATGGGGGAAGTTGCCTTGGAGAAGGTGGAGAGAGAAAAAAAATAGAGTGGAATATTCGGATATAAGGACCTGTGTTGATTTACGGGAGTAGGCATCTATCAAGGCGGCAGGTAACTTTGCATGGCTCGTTGACATCAAAGCAGAGCAAAACCTATACCGAGTGCGACCTATATGAGCTGGAGGGTGGGGTGTCACCATGACCCCGAAGGACACGACTTCTTCTGGTTCGCAAACCACGCGGCTCCTTGTTAAGGCAACCAAGGGAAGGGGGTAGATGGCTCAGAGGGGGGGTGTCTTAGGGAAGAGGGTGGTGTGGGGTGTGTGATGTGGACCGCCTTGGGTTGAGTCCAGGCGTCGCCCACGAAAGCTGTAACTACATGGCAGAGGGAAAAGAGTGACGAGTTCAGAAAGATGCGGCTCAGAAGAGGAGGAGCAGGGTGGCAAAGATCTACTGCGTGATGTAGATTCTTTTGAGCCTGTTGTTGACCTCTCGGACTGTTTACGGGCGGGGAACGATTACGAAAACGATTAACGACTCAAAGAGTTAGAACGAGTCGTGGACCTGGCGAGAAATTAACAATGTAGTCATTCTATTGCTCTCACAGCAAGTCAGGTCAAATGTGCAAAGAAGCATGCATTACATTTCTGCATCAATCTCGTGCACTTACGCCTTAAACGGTAGATTCCAAGGTAATGATGGTTCCAAAGGTGATCTTCCAGGCCGATTCCTATTGCCACGCTCCAATGTTGTCAACTGAGTATCACTCCTGAATCCATCCATTCTGGACCAAAGCAAAGTTTTCAAGTGAACACTGTGCAGTGTACAAGGTAGTACCCCTTCTCACCATGATTTCACAATGAATCATATCGTTTCCATGATCGGAACAACACAGTGTGAAGGGGTTTAACTATTACCGTAGGAGCACACTTGCATCGTGATAACCATCATGCATTTGAGAGATAGAAGAGGGTTTGGGTCGTTGACTGATGATAGAGGTAAACGGGTCGCAATGGAAGTGCTTTGAGGTAGGTATACAAAACGTGCCAGGCAAACTTCAGCGGTGGCTTGCACTTCGAAGTTCTGCGATAACTCTGCCCGGCCGAACGTTCAATGCAATTCTAACAACTCCTTGCAACGGCCGCAGTTCGTCAGGCTAGATGCCTCTTCAATTGAAGGTGGGGTTAAGGAAGGTTGACTTACCTTAGGTCAGCCGGGAGGTCATCATGGCAGGGAGCTGGCTCGAATCATCGTCCAAGGTGCCGGCTTCTTGGTTCGATGAGCCGTTTGTGACTTGGACTGGGAAGAAGGAAATAGACGGGAACTTGGGGTGGGCGAAGAGGAAGTCCACCAGGATGGAAAAAGCGACTGGTTCGCGAACCAGCCTGAGGCTCTCGCAGGCCTTCTCAGGCAACCGTGCTAATGCATGTGCCTTAGGTGGCGAGTGGTTCGCACCCTTAGCCTGACCTCTGTGACCCTGTCCATATTTAGGTAGCCAGCGTCCTCGTCAAAAGTTCAATGGTAACAATCGTACAGCTCCAGACCGAATTTGGGCACGTGTCTCCAGCTACCCCTTATACAGCTTTGTTCTCTTGCGGCGTAAAGCTCTCATCAACGGAACGTCGCCTCTGCATTTTCTCGATATCCTCCGAATATACATATCTCTTCACGACCTCAACCGCCTGTTGCTAACACAACTCTTCTCAACGAAACGAATGCCAAACACTCCTTATAGCTCGACTGACCCAGCGTGTGGCAGAGAAACCGAAACGGAATCGTTAGAGTCGCAATGGCCACGTTGGAAGCAATGCCGTTGATGGCAACTTTTGCCCATGAGTTCTTCCCGTGCGTGACACTTGGCTGCACTTCAAAGCCCTTTCCAACAAAAGCCAACCTTAAGCGGCATATGAGAGCTGTGCACGGTCCACTAGTCAAATTGCGTTGCGGAAAGCTTCTACGAGGTCATTCTTGCAACATCAGACGCCATCAGCAAAGGTGCCACGCGTGTCTCCGAAAGCCTGTCGGTACTGAAAAAGTTCCAAGCATGACTAAGCCCCGTCGGTCAGAGCGTCTTAGTCAGCATGTACAACAAGTTATCATAGCACGCGCAGTCGACGGGACCTCAGCCCAGAACGAGCTATCGGGCTGTGTCACCCCTAACGAAGTCTACCTACATGCCCCTAAGAATGAGACGCGAGACACTTCGTACGATGTTGGCGTCAACGCACCGCTGCATGACCCGGTTTTGGACACGATCTACGCCTACCCATACGGATTGTGAGTTCCCCTCCGAGATCATAATGATAATCTTGTTCTGACGATTTGATAGTCCTGGCGGTGATTTCACATGGACTGGTCCCATTAGTACATGGGACGAAGTAACAAACGTACGAATATGGATATGTCCCCTTCCACTGGTAACTGTTGTGGGGAACAAAACGCTCATCGTTGATGTCGTGCAGACAACCCCACAGGATCCCGGCGCAATAAGTATCCACTCAGATCCATCATCTTAGTTGCCTTGTCACGCTTGTCCACCAGAGCGATCAGCCCTCGGCACAGAAACGACACCTACGGGAAGTTTTGACCACTGTTTAGAGGGTCTTTGGGCTAGATTGAAAGATTGGCTCCATTGGGAATGGTCGGTGGTCGCCTAAATCCAAACAACGTGGAGGGTGTGTGTGATGAGTCAGCGGCGTAAGGCGACCAACGTTTGGATACATATGTGTCGCAGCTGCCCCTCGGATTTAACGACAAGGCGTTCTTTGTACATTACGATACCTCGAAATTATTTTTCAACCTTCCTGCGATCTGAAAGAAGTCCTGTTTATTTGGTGATGTCGGGGCTTGGTTGATCAAGGCAGCGGTCCTGCGACAATGTCTGGAGTAAGTATGCAGTCACAATATTCCAACTGGATGTGAGGCTATTTGGCTAACACTTATTGATGCGACAGTTTACGCCGTATGATCTCAGCGACCTAAATGTCGAATTTCGAGACAAAAGCTACAGAGCGTGATTCCTACCTCGATTCTATACTCGAGAAAGCCAGCAGAGGGTGGGATCTGGTGCAAGCTGATTAGGGTGAGATGATGATTTGCACGGGCTGAATATTACTGAAGGCCAAGGTCGCCGTAATGGAATCATGGCGGTAATGCTACCGAAACGCCAGGTCTTTTCTCTCAGACCGAAATCAGAAGCACTCGACTGTCTGAAAAGGTCACTTGGCACTCAAAAAGGACAGTCTTGATGCAACGTGACCAAGCTCACGTCACAGAGGATGGCCTTGGACTCGAACTATCCAGGTGCACTGACTCCGTACTATGATAGCTTGGTGCACAACGAATTGCAGTTTCTCTATGTTCCTGGTGGCTCTATGGTTCTTAGTCATCTTGAATCAAGCGGTTGGTGGGTTCTCTCTAGATTTGTGACCTCTAGGCCAAGAGTGGTGTTTTCGACATGACACGGCGGATCTGACAGAGTTATGCGATGCCTCAACTCTGTCTAGGGTGCCATCTCAATTGTCTGGGGGCTCTGCCAAAACCATCGAAGTCTCGCGACTGAAGTTTGGGCATCTGCGGATTTGTGTTTTGGATAATGTAAGTCTACGGGGCGTGATGCTCACGGAAATGAAGTATACTCGGAACAAAGCGCGTTCTTTTACATTGATCAACCGCGACAAAGTCGATGGAAGTCTGATGTACGCTCCTGTGGGTAGCTCGATTGGATACAGCTCATGCAGCCGATGGGTAATATGGGCTACCGGAACATGTTGCTTCCTAGCCTATAGGCTATGTGGCTAGCTACTCGCAATTATCCTTTGGAAAACCCTCACTATCATCTCGAATAGCCGGGTGATCGTGGAAGCCCATAGGAGCCCATCCAGGTTTCAAGTCCAGTCCGGTCCATGTGAGCACATAGCTCTGACTATAGAAGCTGAAAGGTAATTTTCTTCAGAATTGGAATGAACAAGCAGCGACAGGATCATTTTGGTGTATCAGGCATGTGGAATGACGTTCTGTGAAGATTTCGTGGCGCATATGTTCTTGTTGGTAACGCCGATTGCAACGGGTCCGAGTTACCGGTAAAAGTGGAGACAATGTCCGATCACTTGTGGAGATGCATCGGCAGTCCCCCGGGTTTCGGAACCTTCCCTCAGCGGAGAGCACGGATCGAGTTGGAAACCCACTAAACATTACCGACGCAGCTTCAAAAGAATAGGTTCGGTCCCTAGGAGGTATCAAATCGGTTCAGTGACATACTGACAGCTTACCACTTTCTTTTGGAAAGAGGATGATGTCTCTACCTCCTTACAAGCATACCCCACGGCAGCAAGATTAAGACCCAAGAATGTTGTCAATGCGAATATAGGACCAACCATCGCATCTATCAATTCATGGTTGGCGCGATCGATGTTGATTTCGCTAGCTAGCGGCGTCGTGGTCGGACCGGTCGGCTCTTAGGACCACGTCTGTGCCGCAGTAATGATAGCGTCTGCCTCAGCCAAACAAGCGCTAGCTAATCTTGCAATGAAGTTCAAATAAGCTCAAATACAACGTTGTAACGATGCAAGAGTTAGTCTTAGCCTGTCGCGTTGGAGTGAGTGAGTGCGCGTTGGGCTCGCGTGGGTGGCCGCAAACGGCCCGAAATCGTGCGAGTCCTTCCACTAGCGACAAGCGTAATCCGTAGGTTTCGTCTTTGACCGACTTCACGAACTATTTATCAAGCTTCACGACGATGACAAGCAACGGAGGGCAAATTGAGATGTGTTTCTCACTCGAATAAGAGCGAGAGTCTGTCTCGTTCGATTCTGCAGTAGTATTGGTTGGACAGCCTCACATGGACACTCAATGAATAACTGTTCGCTTGGTGAGAAAACAGACAGAGAAAACAGCGAGTCAGACCTGAGAACGTCGCCATTTAGGTAAAGTGACAATGTAGTTACCGCTAGGTCTGAAGCAAGCTGACAAGATGCAACAGTTCATCGTGGAAAGGAGGTAGGTGGTTGATACGAAAGCAACTGGACTGATGTGCCAGTGGGTGGCCAACTCCTTCACTACCTCCAAGTGAGGCATCATCAATCTGTCAACAGCGGAATAAGCTTTCCATACGTCACTGTGGGAAGCTCGCCACGGGAGCACCGACCTGTCGGCTTCTTGGGCTCTCACACAGGGCTGCTCAGTCCGTGGTGTTGCCGCGGCACGGAACCGGGCGAATCAAGAGCCACGGAAGAAGACATCAGAAAAGGGGAAAGGGGAAGGGAGCTGCACCCTGTCCCATGTAATTTGAGTGTCTCACCCATGATGAAGGCACTCTTCATCAGCAGGCTGCAACGAAGCTAGACGCGACTATTCTCCACCAGTCCTCTACACCATCGTCACCTAATTCGAGAATTGACATGGCTTTCGTCTTGGCTACTGTCAAGTGCTGCTCACTTAAGGCTACATGAAGGCTCAAGAGGCCCTAACGTTCGGGATCACCCGCGTGAGTGTGCTGATCAGAGTCCAGAAAGGAGCTGAACCTGTCCAACATTCCGTAGACCCACAGACCACCAATCCGTCATTCCTCGTCGTTCTCCCGCATTCCGGTATCGCAAAGTCCGACAGCAGCCTTTCAGGGGTATACACTCTTTTTTTCTTCTTTTGTTTAAGAAGTAGCCCAAATAATAAAGTAAAAGTCTATGGGGCATATAAGATACTTCCAAAGTTAGATACTTGGATGAACCCATGCTGGTATCGTTTGGCCGACATCTACCCCTTAGGACGAAATCGTCAGTCAGATGATGGTCTCTTTGGGAGCACCTGCAGCGTCCTGTCTGCCTTCGCAATACTGCTTCCTTAGTTGTTGATTTAGCTCCGAAGTCTGGACTGCCCCCGCTTATGGCCCGTTTATTTGAAGTAGAACAGCTAGTCTCCTAGTCAAGCTTAGGGACGGGACGAGAGCGTGAGGAGAGTGTGTCCGCAAGATGTGAGGGCTGGCAATGTGTCTCGCCTCACTTTCAAGCTTTCTCAGAACACTGTAAGAATGGAGTAGGAGCTGTTCTCTGAGTACGTCAATGATTAGGGGATGAACTGGATTTCCACAGTGCCGGACCGGAAAGCAGCAATGGCTTCAGTTATTGCCCCCGTTTCTAAGATAACCTCGACAACTTGCTCGTCATTCTACCCGATATCACCGTATGTTTGATGTCCATCCTAAACAAATATTACTTACCCTATGAATATTTCTACGTATTCTCGGCGACCACTGTCCGGAGCCTCATGTCAAGCCTTCGAAGCTTCCTGCTCTTGATGCCTAAAATGGGCAGCTGATGATTGACTCCAGTCGTCTGGCTTGGCTCCCGTCATTCATTTGGCGTTACACTGTCGACTCGTAATGGTGAGAATAACGGCAGCCGCATTCCTCAGAAGCGAGACGAGAGACGGACTACCGTTTCTTTCCCAACGGTTTCCCATATCTCATCTATATTTGGTGATGACCGTCTTACTCGCCTACAAATCCAAGTACAGTCCAGCCTTTAGAGGTGCGTCGATACTCGCTTGGAAGGTACAGTCGTGCCTCCTGGGCATCATAGGTACATATGCTAAGATCACTTTACCGATTTTATCGCCCGTTTTTTCCGCCCAGACGGCGACATACGGTAGCTGTATCTAAGCACATTCCTTTTTTGCTTTCACCACATACGGTCTCTCGCCTGGCTAGCTTCCACCGTGCCTCCTGCCAGGCGTTCCGCCCTCTATAGCTTGTCCCATTCAGACAAGTCACCACGACTCGACTTGACCCCAAAGGCTTCGGAAAAGCTATGACTCCGCGTCACGAAACTTACTGCTATCCGTATCCACGAGTTGTGGAGGGCCTTCGACTCGTTGCCTTGTTTTCCTCATGCGCACTACTAAAAGCTCCAACCCCGCTCACCTTAAATACGAGCCGCTTCTTCAAGCAAGTATGATCAGAAGTAGACGTGGCCACTCATTCTCTTCTTTGCTCATTCCCCAATGCTAAGGCATTGGAGAGAACCATCTTCCTGTAGACCTGCGTTTCACCACCCAAGACGACAGCCGGAATCACCATGACTTCTGAAAAGGCACTCGTGTGCTGCGGCAAGACATTCACTCAGAAAGGCAACCACAAGAGACACACCAAGACCGTTCATTCAGCACGCGTTAAAATGCCCTGCGGTGGATGGCTCAAGCCTAGGGCAGACAACATGAAGCGCCATAAGACACAGTGCGAGACATGCAAATGTCTTCGCAGTGGCCATCTCGCTAGCCAGAACGACTCGGAAACCGAATCAGAAAGCTTTCAGAGAGAGCTTCATACTTCTCCAGCATTCATTGACCCGACTCACGTGGAGTCAACCACAGCCGAAGGATTTGACCCACGACATTTGGACACAGCTCCTCCAATGGCAGACTGCAGTCAAGCAGGACGGACCTTCGTCTCAGCCAATTTAGACTCGGCCATTCCTGTTGATACTGGAACCTGGACTGGCTTAATCGACAGCATCTTCGAATCTCAGGTGCTGCCAACTTTATTGCACACAACCCTCTCGAACGCAATGGGACAACCCATGGGCCTTGGTAGTGGCAACGTTGGAAACACTTCCACATACTATTGCCCGTACACTTGTGACGACTCAGTTAATTTCGAAGAAGAAAACGCATAGTAAGCACTGCTCAATGACTCTTTCTGCCATGAGCCATCATTGAGAAGATATCCTAGCCCCGGGTTTACGATGAACGAGCGGCTGCCTTGAGGGGAAGGCCACTGACCTGACCACGGAGAGGTTTCAGGGATGTGGTCCACCGGGATAAATCCAACAATTTTTCTGGGTAGAAGAGCTTTGATTGAAAGTTGGGAGTAAATTTATTGTTGCAATAGAAAACACTCAAGAGCATTGTGTCAAGCATCGACCACTTCCCCTGGGACAGATGAATTCCCTGTGGTGCACATCCCTCGAATTAGCATAGGGAGGGAGACTAAGCTCAAGGTAGTTTCCTACGGGTAGTTGCGATGAACCAAGATCCTTGGAATGTAAAGGCGCGAAAGATGAAGAGTGCAGCGGCCCGAGGATTGTTTCTTGCTGTCGCCCATGGCCCATCTGTGCAACGGTATCCCCTGTCAGCCAGTGATCCGGAAGTATCTCCAGCAATTCGGACACGGACCAAGCAGAGCTTCCCCAAGCTCTGCCCGCTAGACGCCTTGCTGACCATGTCCGAGTAAGGTAAGACATATTCCTGGACCCATTGTTCATTGACTTCTTGGCAGCCGTTCTCTACTCGCGTTGCCTCGCGCACGCTACCTCGAGGAGGTCAGCCAAGAGCGGGCCGGGCTGCCACGTCGGCTGCCTGCATCGGACTTCAACTGCCCATAGATGAGCGAGGCTAGGCCAGGTAATCCATTGGCTCCATGGAGAATGCGTCATTGACTTGGGATCCCATACATACTATCCAATCCTTTCGCCCAGCCTTGAGTCGTGATTGTGTTCGATAGGAGGCCGTGAGGTGAAACATATTTTCTTTCATTCCCCTGCCTCTTTTTCAGTGCAGGTCATCCAGATGATAGAGTTCAAGTCGTGATCTAGAAGCTGACGTGATTGATGACCTCTGCTTGAACAGACAGGAACACCCCGTTTGAGGGCTGCAACGGCACTTCGACTTGGAATAATCTAAGCCGGAGCTGTCGTGATGCCATCTCAAGTGATATCCATAGCTCCGATGAGCTCCAAAAGAGTTAAGGTTTATCTGACGCCACATGCCTGGCTAGTTGCCTAGTGATTCGTCCGTACCTGGCCACCAGGTTGAGCCGTCTTGGCAGGGAGAGAAGCGTGTATCTTCTACGCACACCTCATTAGCACGTGTTCTCGAGACAACCCGTAAGCTTCAGGGTAGAGGAAAAGAAAGTCCCCGCTCGCGTCTTAGCTGCATGACCTGGGGAGCATGATACTTGGCAGCCTTCCTGGGACAGCAGGCCTTTTCACGATAAAATTCGCTAGGATACGCGATTCCAACGGTCAACTCAACAAATTTCGAAGCTATTCCTCTTGATTCATATGCTCACAAGACCTTTCCTGCAGAAAGACGAGTTCAAACACGGTAGATGATTGATCCCGATTTCAGCGGAACGGCCTATCCGACGGCCGGCCGAAGGTCGTGAGCCGGAGTGGGGCCGAAGACAAAGGATGGTGGATACCACCGTTGGCCAACGGCGCAGGACGCTAGTTGAGGTGGTTTGCGGCCTCCGGAGTACCTTACGTTGGCTCCTGGCGAGTCTCGGGAGAAAAAGCAATGAGGACATGCTTATCTAGCCCCGACGTGCAGGGGTTCGTAGCTTGGCGGCAGTTTTCCACCAATCTATCATCCGTCATATCCAATGAGCTGTTGGAGGGCCGAGTCTGCAGGGTTGACCTGACAAGGGGGGGTGGACAAAATCAAAAGTTGTCCCCCCCCCCCCTTGTCTGATATGTCGGAGCCGGCATGTCACACATCAGAGTGAGCCGAAGGCGATCTCGGGAATTGTTGTGTCTGCCAATTCTCTTGCATGAGTTACGCCTCTACGGCTGCAACGGGCGGGGAGGCTCCTGGAAGCCGCGTGTCCTGCACAGAAGTAGCCCATCGCCCGGGCCATAGGTGCTGCCCAGCGAGTCCCAGCGTCCATTCAACACCCTGGCTGCGAGGCTCTGTTGAGCTCTACCATCATAGTACAACCGTGACTGAGTTTATTCAACGCGTCGGGAGTTCTTGGAGCAGGCAACAAGAAGATCAGCTCTGCGGGATGGCGCCGGCACGGACAATGTGGTCGACGCGCCAAGTAGCCTCGGAAGGCGTCACAGATCCGACATTCTAAGTCTCGTTCGCTGTATAGTGGCCGGACGGCGTAGAAGAAAACGGCACTGCCGGCTTGGCAGGTCAGACTCCTCCTGAATATTCCTTAAAGAGTACTGCGCAGCCTACTGATTCATAATGATCCGACTATTGGGGTAGACAGGCCGTCTCCATGTTGCTGCGTTAATCTCATATTCGTGAGAACATGTGTGATGTACTTGGACGTCGTTCAATTAAGCTCGCTTCGGCTCACGCCAATCCTGAGTCTTTCATAAGCAGCAGAAAGCGCATTCGGTACCGACTACATCGGAGGTGTTTGGGCGGCTCCTGGCACAGAGGACAAGAGAGGACCCCCTTCGAATGTCGAGATACGAGAACTTGATCGAACTAGCTACCTTGCTGTTGGTGACGGGTAATGGCTTCCGTGTGCCGGGACTGGGATCGAGACGTCGGGTCTCTTGTATCCCTGTTGGCGTGCATATTGGGACTGAGGGAGTATGTGAGAGCTGACGAGTCTGACACCCTTGTCCGCGCAGGCGGACCTCGCATTGCATATTCCAGCAGAAATCTTTGAAGATCCGTACGGATAGAAAGGGAAATTGGCGTCAGCTCCATCCTCTGGATCTTCTTGGACCCGTGTCCGTCGCGGCTGCCGCTGCCGCTGGTGTGGTGTGGTGCATGTGGGCGGTCCAGAGAAACCAGCACGGGTAAGGCTTCCTAGTGCCCGGGATCTGTACAATACGCTATACGGAATGGGTGGAACGGGAATAGGAGCTGCTCATCGTGCCACGCCCCGTCCAGTTCTCAATAGGCTACAAGGAACACCCGCCAGCGTATGTTTACTGGCCAAATTTGGGAGATCTGTTTGGATCTTAAGGTAACATGTATGGATACGGAACCGTAGTTGACAGACCAAAGCTAAGGTAAGGTAACGTAGGTAGGTGACGCTAGCATGGGTGACGTGCTGGATGTTCTAGAAAGCCCCAGACGACCCAGATCCAGCAAGATACCGTCTGTCAATACTTTGGTTCGCTCAAGACCCAACGCCCCCTGTCTGTGACTTGCAAGTGACATGAAGACCCTAGCCGTCTACCTGGCTAAGAAGACACCCCCGCTGGCGTTGACGGTGCCTGTGCCAAGGTTCCCAATATATCCTGGTTGTCAGATGACGGCGTGTGCGGTGGACTCTATACCTCAAGAGAGATTCACTTGAGTTCGCTTTGACCTGCCGTGGATACATGAGAAGCCCATAGTCGGACAGTGTATCACGTTTCCTGCAAGGCACCCCGAGGAGCAGACACTCATGTAAATTCTCGATGTCGGAACCCCTTCGACTTCACTATGCTGGCGCCTCTTTAGGTTTGGTTCATCTAGATAGCAAAACATGGACCAAGTACTCCGTAAGCTACAAATTATCAGTTTGGTCTTTGGATGACCCCCGCCAGGTCAAGCGAGCTCTCTCGCCGCTGGAGGGAGAGTATGCAAGTATCCGCGGGAACCCGTTTGTGTGCGGTGGTGAATGGAGACTATGTTAGTGCCGTCTGTGTGTCCGTGCCGTTGCCGTTGGGAAAATCGTGGATATGGGAGCACCGCTGACCAGTGGCGGGTCAATCTTTCCACGCCCTAGCCTGTCGATTCCGATTCCCTACCAGTACACACGCACTGGAAATGCTCCGTACGGTAGGTGAGTATGACCAAGCTCAAAGGCAAGGGGCGCTTACGATTATGTTTTTGGTTAGTTCAACCTCTTCCTATCTCACAGTATGAGAGTATCTCTCTATGAGGTACTATTTCTTTCACCAGTCTTATGGGCACGCGGTTTGATGAGTGGGAGAACAAAACGAGGGGGTGATCGGGGAGCATCAAACGCCGAACGAAGGGCTGGATGGGTTGTGCTACTCAATGGCGAACCCAGGTAGACTTGGCCATCTTGCTACCAGAAGACGAAACTCGGTCGAGCCACAGAGAGAACTGATCAGCATACGCCCAAGAAAGTATGAGGCCGTGCGACGAAGAGCGGTCTCTACAAGTGCATCACCAAGGTCGGAAAAGTACCTTGCAGATTGGCAGTCAATCCCATTTCAGCAACCGCAGGGGCTTGATAATCTGGCGTGCTTGGAAGGACAAGGAGCGGAGAGTCAAGATTTTGCGAGAACATGATTTGGAGGGGCTTGGCAACGCAACACCCATTGTGGCCCGTAGCTGCAGGATAGACTTCCATTGCGCAGATCATTTCCAGACGAGCAGAAAAAGAAAAGTCAGGTCCCGCGACGATGGAATTGTGCACACAAGCAAGTGACGCGGTTCCCTCGAGTTGGAAAAGCGATCGCTTCTAGGTCGAAAAACCGGGGGGGGGGGGGTGGACAGAGTTCATTTCAGCCGTTCGTTTAACGGCTCCAACGTCTCCATTTCATCCAACGGATACATTTCGACACCCCAGAGAGATCCTCTCTGTCTTACCCCAGTCACTCTCTTCCCCGTGTCTCTCTCCCACTCCCACCGCATCCCAAGGCCGCCGCGCTAGTCGCTCCTCGACGCGGCGCGTCAGCGCGGGGAGTTTGCAGACACCCCAATCTCTCTCCTAGGTAACCGATATGTCTCTCACCGAAGCCTCTTCTTCCCTTCTTCCCTTCTCTTTTCCAATCCCTTGTTCCGTAGTTACTTGCCCCTACCCTAGAGTGCCGAGTCATTTCTTCTCTTCTCTAACCCCACTCCCTTCACCTCTTGTCTTTCACCCCAAGGTGTCAAAGACGAAGTTGCATCTCGTCCGCTGTAGAGCTTGATTTGCTTTTACCTCGGAGGATCTACCTTCGTAGTTATCTGCATTGGCTCGGAGCCGACG